TCACATCCTAGGTGTCCTCTTTTTCATACACTTCAATAAATTTAAAATGTTCTCATGTAAGATGTGAGTGAATTAAACCTGGAGTATTCACTTTCATTATTTTATATGGGTTGCTGGTACATACAATTTTAGATGGCAATAATAATTAAGTCATTGACAGGAACAAAGATATATTATCAAGAGGCATCCTTAATTACGAAAATGAAAACACAGTTACCTGAAAAGTATTACTGTAGCATTATATATAATTTATACACAATACACGTATATTTTAAACATTGGTACTAAGAGATGGAGCTGCCCTCTACTACCCTCTTCCCTAGTACATTCTACATTCTCACTGTCCTCATGATGGGTTACTTCCTTTTTTACCTATTTGTTATTTCAGGTTTTAACTTCCATCTGTGTGCTCTTATCCTTTGACAGGGTGCACCCATTTCTATCTACTTACAATTTTTATCAATAGCTCTTGGATATTTTCAACCTTGTTCCTTTGTGCCTCCAGCATTGTGAGACTTTTCCTCATATTCTCAAGAACATGCCATGATCAATTATATGATCTTCTTAAGCTTTCATTCATATCTGAATGTTATGCTGGTGATAAATATTCAGATATTGATGTCATGGAGGTGGTGTATATTATCTTAATGGATTACCTGCTGAAATTTGATGATCTAGTGAACAGGGCAGGTCCACTACCTGTTTTCATATTACTGTGTTTCAATTATATATTTAAGTGTACGAGGGTAAGAGGGAACAAGTTCCTGCTCTTAAGCCTGCTTAACTTTAATGTGAACTGGCCCTATCTTATTTACATTTGAAACTATAAAGAATGAGCTTCTACTGTTGTTGTCAAGCATTCAACTTCACTGTTTCCATACTAAAGAAATATTTCCTTGACATCCTGATAAACCAGATGGAAATTCAGTTACCATCCGACTCTTTATGCTCTGGATCTCACTCTGAGGGGGCTTTCCTTGTCCACCTTTGTCATTATCCAACCTATCCTCATTTTGCAATTTCAGAATTTTCTTACAAGCTTCCCAGTGTCAAATTTCCTAATGTTTCATGTGACCAAAAATTCTATTTTCTTTATGTTGCTAGAATAGGTTTGGTTGGGTTAGCTAAAGTTATATAAACCTATAAAATGTATATTTAGCCAAAATAGGCAAATTAAAAAAGTGAACATATCATATCTAGCAACGAAGTGGCCAAACATAACCAGGAAATGCTCGAATTTGCAATTCCCTCTCTTATGATGCGAGAATGAGCTATAATATCTTATCTCCTTGTTATGTATTCCTTAAGGAACAAGAGATCTAGTCTGTCATTCTATACCTCTTTGAATATATGCCAAAGTTTCAGCACAAGTTCAAAGTTTTACTTTGTATTTGTTTAAATGAGGGTTCCATGTTGGTGCAGTGCCATAGTCAAAGATTTTTTTTGTAACGTGATGAGGACTTACTCAAAGAAATCCCTGCTAAGATATCTGAAAGTCATTTTTAAGTTTACCAGCCTAGCATATGCTGCTGTGTTAATTTTATTTGTAAGTACTTTTAGAAAATGCTTACTCTCAGGTTTTTTCCATTATTGCCTGATGACCAAGTAAAAAGCACAGATACCCTAATTACAGCAGGGCCCCGCTTTGTGGCGTTCCGCTAATATGGACATTTCAACTTACACACTGTGCTGGTGTGCAGGTACACATTAACCCTTAAACGGTCCAAACAGATCGACGTTCAAATTCGTAGTGCTACGGAAGTAGATCTACTTTTTTGTACGTATTTTCAAATGTAACAAAAAAAATGTAGATAAAAGTTTTTTTTACACGTTTTCACGTGTAAAACAAAAAAAAAGATCTACATTTTTTTACATACTTTCAGATGTTGAAAAAACGTATACAGGAAGGCCCCGCTTTACGGCGTTTCACTTTACGGCGTTCCGCTAATACGGTCATTTCAAATTATGACCAAAACTCGCTATACGGCTCCCCCCACCTGACTTTCTAATACGGTCACCGCGCCCCACCTTGTTTGTTTACATTCTTCGTGAGCTCAGTAAGCACTAAGTCTCTCCATTTTGTCTGGAAACTCCAAAATTTCAAATGTTTTTAAAAGTTATTTCATATTTTATATATACTCTGATAATTATACTTATGTATACCTGTACTTAAATAAACTTACATACTGTGCTGGCATGCAGGTACACATTAAAATCAGTAAGAGTGTCTTATGTCTCCAGACGTCATATTAGTAATGATAATAATAATCATCGTCTCATTTAAATGTTGTATATTACGTTAAATACACATTTTCATTAATCCATCTATGATATTTTTTCAAAATTATATAATAAACACGATACATAATATAAAAAGATGTTAAATACACCCCACAATAGAATAAATAAACATAAATATGAGATGTGGTAGCAGACGACTTGCACAAGTGACGCCATATTAGAAATGCTAATAATAATAATAATAATAATCACAGAGTCTTATTACGTTAATATACACATTTTCATTAATCCATCCATGATATTTTTTTCAAAATTATATAATAAACATGATACATAACATAAAAAGATGATAAATACACCCTACAACAGAATAAATAAACATAAATATGAGATGTCGTAGCCAGATAACTTGTACAAGTGATGCCAAGAATAACATTTTCTCTAATCTAACAGAAGAGAAAATGTGTTACTGGGGGTAACTGTAGAAAATTATTCCTTTCGTATGTATGTAAGTAAGTTTATTCAGGTATACACAAATACAGTTACATAGATTATCATACATAACAACATATGTGTAGAGAACCTAGGATAACCCAAAAAAGTCAGAGTGACTTATTTCCATTGCCTTCACTCAGAGCATCATTTCTTCTCAAAATGATGTTACATGAGAATGGGAGTGTTCTTCTTTATTTATTCTACCGTATCAATGTAGAGACAACCTGTACACAATGTAACTTGTACACAAACCAGACGTGTACACTTCGTTTACAAAACTTACCTTCGCCTGGTTTGTTTACATAACTCTGCGCCTGTCCTCTCTCATGCATTCATTCTTTCTCTCTCTCATTTATTCGTTTTATCTCATTTACTTACTCCTGACCCTACATTAAGACTACAAATATTTTAAGGTAAGTAATGAGTGAACTGTATATACATTTTATTGCTCTGGGATGCTTAAATATCATAGAATTGTATGTGGGTGAGGTGGCCTGGTATGGTAGCCTGGCTGACTACCATACATACCACACTTGATTTCTTACAATAAATACTACTTGTCTCGCCCTAGATTAAGACTATAAATATTTTAAGGTAAGTAATGAGTGCACTATGTGTGTATTGTACTTTTTATTGTTTTTTGATGCCTGGTTCTATTGCTAACTTAATATATGTTAGTGTAAACTTGTTATCTAGTGTTTGTATGCATTTGTAAGTGGAAAAAAAGGGTGTTCCACTTTACGGCGGTTTCCGCTTTACGGCGGTAGCCTGGAACCTAACCAGCCGTATAAGTGGGGCCTTCCTGTATATACATTTGGACCATTCAAGGGTTAAAATCAGTAAGAGTGTCTTATGTCTCGAGATGCCATATTAGTAATGATAATACCCTGCCTCGGTGGGAGACGGCCAACTTGTTAAAAAAAAAAAAAATAATACTCAGTAATAATCACCGAGTCTCATTAAATGCGTATATTGCGTTAATATACACATTTTCATTAATCCATCTATAACATTTTTTCAAAATTATATAATAAACATGATACGTAATATATGAAGATGATAACTACACCCCACAGTAGAATAAATTAACATAAATATGAGTTGTATAAATGACGGCAAGAATAATGTTTTCTCTAGTCCAACATCAGAGAAAATGTGTTACTGGGGGCAACTGTAGAAAATTATTTATTTTGTATGCCTTCACTCAGAGAGTCATTTCTTCTAAAAATGGTGTTACATGAGAATGGGAGTGTTCCTCTTTATTTATTCTACCATATCAACGTAGAGACAACTTGTACACAATGTAACTTGTACACAAACCAAACGTGTTCGCCTGGTTTTTTACAAAACTCGCGTACGCCTGGTTTGTTTTCATAACTCTGTGCTTGTCCTCTCTCATGTACTCATTCTCTCTCTCTCATTTATTCGTTTTATCTCGTTTACTCACCTCTGACCCTACATTAAGACTACAAATATTTTAAGGTAAGTAATGAGTAAACTGTATATGCATTTAATAGCTCTGGGATGCTTAAATGTCATAGAATATTATGTGTGGGTGGGGTTGCCTGGTATGGTAGCCTGGCTGGCTACCATACATACCACACTTTATTTGTTACAATAAATACTACTCATCTCACCCTAGATTAAGACTACAAATATTTTATGGTAAGTAATGAGTGTACTATATGTGTATTTTACTTTTTTATTTTTTTGATGCCTAGTTCTATTGCTAACTTAATATATGTTGGTGTAAACTTGTTATCTAGTATTTATATGCATTTATAAGTGGAAAAAAAGGGTGTTTCACTTACGGTGATTTCTGCTTTACTGTGGTAGCCTGGAACCTAACCTGCTGTATAAGTGGGGCCCTACTGTATATCTATTTTGTACTCCTGCAAAGAGCTTGGGTACTCTATTCTCATAAAGTATTGTCATCTGTGGAAAGCATGAGTACCCTGCCTAGTCTCATACTGTAAATGATAAAAATGTACATTAGGTTTAGTATTGCCATTTACAGCACTTTACATTTGTATATACTCTATGTGTTTATGGATATGTACAATATAATTTAAGTATTGGCTCAAGTTTGTCTGGCCAAAAATGTTTTTCATAGCTAAAGGCTTCTCCATGTAAGAAATCTTTGTAGCACAAAGGTATCTTCTTGGAAAACAAATGATTATGATCATTCTGTCATTTGTGAAGAGGATGATTACCCTCCCTCCCTATTCCAATTTTGTCATTTATGAAGAGTATTGGCACCTTACCTATTCTCAAAGATCATGGACTCCTGGACAGCTTGATGGATCTTCTCCATCTCATCCATGATTGCCTTATTGCCAATGACTGCAGCTTCATAGTCCTTCAGACGGTTCTGCTGATCTTCAAGAACAGAGCCCTGTGGAGATGTTTGAGTATTGAAATACAGTGTCTTTTAATATCCTGGTTACCAATTATCAGATATTTCTCTGATTTATAAACAAACAGAGCAAATAATAAAAAAAAAATCATTATGAATTATAGTTTTACAGTATATGGTACAGTACTGTTTAACCTAATTTATAGAGAATAGAGAAAGTAATTAAAAAACTAGGCACTCTGTTGTGATCACTGTATTTGAATCTATGCAAATAGAATATGTCTAGCATTGTTGCCAGAATTAACAAAAGCGGTAAAAGTACTGCTGCCAGAATTAACAGTAGAAGTGTAAAAGCCCAGTGTTGCCAGGATAACAGTTAAACAGTACAGGTACAACATTGCCAGAAAAACAATGGAACAGTGCAAACACTTTTAAAAGCATTAGCAGTGGAACAATACAAGTACAGTGGAACCTAGGCTTACAAACTTAATCCGTTCTGTGACCTTGTTCATATCCTGATTTGTTCGTATGCTGAGTCAATTTTCCTCATTTAAATTAATTGAAATGCAATTAATCCATTCCAGCCTCTCCGGAGGCATGACATAACACTAATATCAACTCTACAGCTTATTTATCTATCACAATTCATCTAATAAGACATAATAAACAATATTAATAATGTAGAAACATGATATATACTCTAGAATGAATAAAATAGGCCATAATATGACGAGTGAAGCCGACGCCGGCAGCATCTGCCATTTACTCTCCCACTCTAGTATCTTCCCAGCCCATAACTCCCACACCTAGCTTGTTTATTTATGATTAGTGGTAAGGTTGTCACATGGGTAACCACAGGTGTAGTCAAGACAGATGTATATATAGGTGAAGACGTGGTGGTGAGGTGCCTCACCTCTGCTGCTGTTTTCTTCGTTTATCTAGCTTTTTTCATAGTTTCTAATCACTTCTTACTGATCGTATGTGAATACTGTCTCTTCGGGTGAGGTATTGTGTAAGAAATTTGGACAATATAAGACAAAATTATAGTCCCAAGGGTCTATTGCGGTCACTCAGAGTGGCGAACCTCTTCCTCCTTTTGACCCTTGGTTGGCACTGAGATGTGGTCCAGCAGTTGTACCTACAGCCACTCAGAGGGTTACCAATTTATATTTTGAAGCATTTGGCACAAAAATATGGAAAAAATTACAAAAAATATTTAAAAATGACATTATTATTATTATTTTTATTACTATTTATTGTATTATTATTATTACATTATTACACCTACCATCCAATTTACAACCTGCTTGACACACGTCCAATCGAGTTACAACCGTGAATCTGGCAGCTGGGCTGGGCTGGCTGATGCATACCACTGTACAATATTTGACGATACTCGCTGCTGCGGCAACGCGCCATGCAGGCAGCATCAATTTGAGTTACCCTGCCCTATCTGCAGCATCATAATGTATTAACTGTACTAACTGGACAGTAAATTTCACCATGGCCCCTAAGAGGAAGACTGAATCTTGCACTGGAGATTGTGGCAAGAAGGCAAGAAAGGCTCTTACTCTCCAACTCTCTTTATTTGTTTTCACTGTTGCACATAAACCTGTCTGTATCTGTCTGGCTGTATATCTGCCTGTCCATCTGTCTAGATCTGTCTGCTTATATGTCTTTATGTCTTCCTGTGTGTGTCTGTCTTTCTGTCTACCTGTGTGTGTGTGTCTGTCTGCTTGTCTCTCTGTCTCAGAGAGCCGCTCATGAACCAACAGGTATTACACATGAAGCAGTCGTCACACCTTCAATATGAAGCTAATATCAGCTCTATGGCTTATTTATCTAATATGACATAATAAACAATATAAATAACATAAAAACCTGATATACATTACAATCAATAAAATATGAACTTAACTGCTTTAAACTCCACATCTTGCACCTGTGCTGGTGTGCAGGTACACATTAAATTCACTAAGTGTGTTATTGGTCTTGAAGATGCCATATTAATAATGATAATAACACAATAATAATCACTCTGAGGTGCATTAAAAGTGTATAAAACGTTAATATAGACACTGCTTAATCCATCTATAATTTTTTTTAAATTATATAATAAACATGATACGTAACATATAAACATATAAATTAGCATAAATATGAGATGTTTTTCCAGTCGGCTTGACAGAGTGAACAAAAACCATTCGCGAATCTTCTACACTCTCATTCTCTCTCTCTCATTTATTCATTTAATCTTGTTTACTCACCTCTCACTCTACATTAAGACTACCGATATTTTAAGGTAAGTAATGAGCGAACACTATTATTACTATATTATATTTTAATAATAATAATATTATTAGTACATACATATTATTGTAAAAATAATAATAATTATTAATTTTTTTTTTAACAAATCAGCCATCTCCCACCAAAGCAGGGTGACCCAAAAAGAAAGAAAATCCCCAAAAAGAAAATACTTTCATCATCATTCAACACTTTCACCTCACTCACACATAATCACTGTTTTTGCAGAGGTGCTCAGAATACAACAGTTTAGAAGCATATACATGTACGTATGAAGATACACAACATATCCCTCCACTGCCAATATCCCAAATCCCTCTTTTAAAGCGCAGGCATTGTAATTCCCATTTCCAGGACTCATGTCCAGGTATATAAAAATAACCGGTTTCCCTGAATCCCTTCATTAAATATTACCCTGCTCACACTCCAACAGCTCATCAGGTCCCAAATACCATTCGTCTCCATTCATTCCTATCAAACACGCTCATGCACGCTTGCTAGAAGTCCAAGCACCTGGCCCACAAAACCTCCTTTACCCCCTCCCTCCAACCTTTTTGAGGACGACCCCTACCCTGCCTTCCTTCCCCTACAGATTTATAAGCTCCATGTCATTCTACTTTGATCCATTCTCTCTAAATGACCAAACCACCTCAATAGCCCCTCTTCAGCCCTCTGACTAATACTTTTATTAACTCCACATGTTCTCCTAATTTTCACACTCTGAATTTTCTGCATAATATTTGCACCACACATTGCCCTTAGACAGGACATCTCCACTGCCTCCAACCGTCTCCTCGCTGTAGCATTTACAACCCAAGCTTCACACCCATATAAGTGTTGGTACCACTATATTTTCATACATTCCCTTCTTTGCCTCCATAGATAACATTATTTGTCTCCATATATACCTCAACGCACCACTCACCTTTTTTCTTTCATCAATTCTATGATTAACCTCATCCTTCATAAATCCATCTGCTGACACGTCAACTCCCAAATATCTGAAAACATTCACTTCCTCTCCAATTTGATATCCAATTTTTCTTTATCTAAATCATTTGATACCCTCATCACCTTACTCTTTTTCTATGTTCACTTTCAACTTTCTACCTTTACACACTCTCCCAAACTTGAGAGGGAAGGACATATCCTGAAATTTCGTTCATATCCAGAAGCAAGAAATTGACCAAACGACAGTTCGTATCCTAAAATATTTGTTTGGTGGGGCGTTCGTAAGCCGAGGTTCCACTGTACAGTATTGCCAGCATTAGCAGTAAAAGTTTTGTCTTATCACTATTAACAGTAGAACCATACATGCACAGTGTTCCAGCATTAACAGTGTAAGTACAGTGTTGCCAGCATTAACAGTGGAACAGTACAAAACAGTATTGAATGGATTAACAGCACAAGTTCAATGTTACCAACATTAGCAGTGAAAAGGTACAAGTACAGAGTTGCCACCATCAAGAGAGAAGCAGTACAAGGACAGTGTTGCCAAAATCAACAGTGCAAGGAGAGTGCTGCTGAAATGAAGACACATACATGCACTACCACCATAACAGCAACAATACTACCATTATATTATCACCCTGTGAGGGAAAAGTTCAATAGATAGGAGTAGCAATATAGTAACAATAGTTTCATTACCGGCTACTAGTTAAGGTAGGGTACGTCTAGCTCCCGCTATCCCTTCCCCTCCCTCTTCCCTTCCCCGCTCGAAAGGTGACGTATGGGGCTCTGGTCAAACAGTAAATCACTCGACTCGCAGTTCCCAACACTACTGTAAGTACATGCCTGCCTTGTATTCTAGTGGATTTATTGGTTAAAAGCTTCACTTTTGACCAATAATAAACTTAGTCCTTTCAGTCTTGCTCTAGGTTGACTGTTGTAATAATCACCACGTCTTTTGAGTAATGTACACTGCCATGGAGAGTGATTATTTAAGCAGTGGGTAACCTGTCTATCTTTTCAGCTTGGATGACAGTGAGGGTCACGTGTCAATCAACGAGAAGAACAGGAGAAGGACTAACATCCAGAGACTTCTCCATTTTGGATCTAATTACCTGTGCACCTGTATGAAATTGCAGGACGTAACCCCACATCATTGCAGCGGTAAAGAACCTGCTTTCCTGTCATCGGGATACTACTCACGGCGTTAATCTGTGAAGAACTAGCCAGTGGTGGTCACCAACACCTGCGACCCCCCCCCCCATCATCAGCAACGGCTACGATTTCAACAAGCAGTGTCACCAACACCAGACACCCAAGTGTTAAATTAGCGTTGAATTCAGTTATCATTTATATTTTTCCTTTTTCATTTTCTTTAATGTAGGATTAATATTTCATATTTAAGTGTTTTATATTTTATATTTTCTACATAATAAAGTGTTTATGTTTGTCTGTTATTATTTCTTTTTCTATTCACTAATTTTCCTGAGGAGGAGCCAGCCTGGGTAATACTGTCTGAAGTTGTTACAGGGCTGAGTAAGCCTTCACACACCCATAGGTCAACTTGTTTTCTTTTTACTTGGAAAAATGTGCTCAAACTTATACTCCTGAATTTTTTATAGAAAGATACATTTTTTTTTTTTTGCATATATGATAAAAATTAGGATAGTGCGAACTAGAAGCTTAGTTACACTGCATTGTAGCCAAAATCATGCACATAATAGATTTTCATATTATGCAATCCCTTCAAGGGAGGTTTAATGCTGGTAAGAGGTTCTTGATTCAAGGAATTGGATATGACCTCCCATTCCTTGGATCGAACCTGATTATTTCCATTCCCCAGGCACTGTATGACTCCTATGGGTTTAATGCTCCTCCATTAATATAATGATGATAGTATATAATTATTTTTAAAAGGGAAAGAATGGAGGAAAGGGAGAAAAAACTGGCCATTAAGATATGTAGTATTTAGTAGAGGAACAATTGAACAGATGACTGGCAACTACATCTTTGTGTATGAGTTTGTATTATACTTTTTTTTTTGTAGTAGTAATGATTAACACATTTAAAATTACTGTACTATTATTGTTATATTCATGAGGAAGCTCTAAATCTTAAGGGTCATATAGAACATATTTAAAAATTAACCTGCAAAAGATGAATTTGTTACACATATACTATATGCCAGTGACCAAAGTGAAAAAATTATCATGTCAGCTTGACAGATGTCATTTGACTAAGAAAAACTGGAATTTGTTGTAGCTATATATTTACTAAAAGTAATCAGAAATAATGATTATTCAAATATCTTACATGCATGCCCATGCCAATAGCAGCAACTGCATCCATTTGCTTCTCAATCCAAGGACCCACACCGTTGGCTTTTTCAGCGAACTGCCGCCTCAGGCTCTCATTGTCTGAAGTCTTTGTTAAGGAAAAGCACATTGTAATTATATTAACAACCAAATGGCGAACCTGTGGTCTAAACTGCAAGGGAAGAGAGTTAATGGAGTTGAAAGTGTAAAATTAAAATCATAAGTGGTATCACAGGTTACTTTGTTAAAATGTTATAGAGGGAGTCTGCATCAAAGGTGGGACTTTTGGCAAGGAGCGTAATTAAGGTGAGCATATTAGAGCACTGAAGACGTCAAAAGTGAAGTGTGCATGCTCTCTGACAGATAGGAAAGTCTTGATATGGTGAATGCTAGAGCCACCTGGCAATCCTTGCAGAAAGTTGCCAAGTGGGAAAAGCATATCCTTCACAACCTCATAATTAAAAAAAGTTTTATTAAAACCTTACAAATTAGTTGATTTATTATGATTTAGAATAACACCATTTATATTTGTATTTTAATCAGCAGGAAATGTTACACCCATAGGGATCATGTACAGAATGAGAATTGGGAGGCAATCAGGTTTGATCAAAGGAAAGGGAGGAAAATTCTAGTTCCTTAGAACAAGAGCCCCTCACATGCATCAAGGCACCTTCCTTGAGTGAAAGAATAACACCAACTAGTCAAAATTTTATAAGAGAAATTTTGGATAGTATCAGATTTGCCTGTCATTTTAATGCCTGTATGGTTGTTCCTAATATGCGATAGGTCAAAATAAGAATGCTTTCTGCTTGGTCTTTGAGGCTGCCCAGTCTTAATATTTTACTTTTAACTTGGCTGAATGTCTCCCCAACTCAGTTAACTGGAAAAGGGGGATTGTAATTACTTTTTTTTACAAAGCTCCTGACAATACTTGTAGCCAGTGTAATGTAGTTCATGTATGTCCTATGCTCCTGCATGTCTGCTACTGATTAAGAAAATGAAATTTAGTGATTGTAACTTCTATTACATACTTTTACTGCATGTGACCTGTTGATAACTATTATAGTACATAATAATTTGTGAATACAGTAAATGTCTTAATATTTTATTAGATAAAACAATGCTAAGATTAGATTTCAAAAGGATACTCTGCTGCTTCTGGAGCTCGGCCTGGAGGGTTCCATCACGCTGGGGCACCAGCTTCTTCACTTCTCCCCACTTGCTTGAGATAACCTGTAACACACAAATATCTGTGTTGACAATATTTATTTTATATATATTTATATTATTATTATTATGTTTAATATGAAACACGAAACCTGTGTGGGTCATTCAGTGTAAGGAGTTGTGGAGTCTTGATCCTCCATCTATTAATCATGAGACAAACACACTACACTCACAGCCAGGCTTCCCCTAGTCTACATATTTATAAAAATATTAAGAAAGTAAACAGACATTAAAGCATTTACTTTAAGGAGAAAATGACAAGCATGCACTATTATTTATATAAAAATTTTTGCTAACATACAGACACAGACTAATATGAAGAAAAAACATTCGTTTACTGCACAACTGAATTATGCTTATTTTGAACTAGTCATAATTCTTTCAGGAAATGATTCTTATGATGAATCTCTTGATATTTTATTAAACAATAAGTTTTTATTGAAGAATCAAATGTACAATACTTCTAACTCAATTTTTATTGTAATTTTGAAGATACATCACTGCCCTGTACCAGTGTTGTACATTTGTACAAAGTAAATGCAGCATGCTTGACTACAGTTCATTTCCAATTTATGCACATTGGGAAGTCAGTGTTACTAATACATGGCTAAGTTTTTACAATGTTCACAGAGGATTTACTAATTCAAAAGAATTATTTTCAAAATGGAAAAGAGTATACAAACATTTGAAAAACTTGTTATGGATTCACAGCCAATGATCATTTTTCTATTTTTTTTTTAAACCATGCTTATCATTCAATTTTATTCCCATTTTTCCATAATTCCCTTTATCATATTATCTTCTTTGGTTTTATAATAAAAAATAAGTAGTACTTTGAGAGGTATGTGGAATGCAACTTAATTTTTTTCCAAAAAACTCTGTGAGAGATTTATGCAAATCCACTTTTAATGCAACTTCCAAAATATCTGTGGGAATCAAAGGCATGAAGGTTTAAGATGCTATGGTTATAACTTAAAAGTGCTTACAATTCATGCATATATCATCTCTTCACATTCCATATATATTTGAATGATATAACTAAAATTTTTTGATAAAAAAAATTATTCCAAAATAATCAAGCCAAAAAGAATGTGCAAGAACTACGCATATATAACTCAAATCTTTTGTTCATTCATTAGCCTCAGAATAACGGACATCAGTATTTGAGTTGATGATGCAAAACTGAATAAAATATAATACCCAATACAGTAAATACATTACTTTCTCATGCAAAATGTACTACTACTTTACCTCAACGGCTCCAAGAATTCCTTCACTATCCTATGAGTGCATGAGGGGAAAAAATAGCACAGGTAAAGTTATAATTGTTATTGGTTAATCTTCAGAGAAACTTGCTCAGCTTTAGAGATTGTCAAATATTCCCTTAACATCATCAACATGTCTAAGAAAAATCTTGAGACTGCACAGCATTCATGTGAATTGTTCACACCTGCTCTCATTTCTCTGTACATAACACTGTCTGCCATAAACTGAAGGAATAATTTAACTGTAGTGTCCAGTGTATAGTCTGTGGTTTTTCTGTATTATTTGAACAAGTTACTGTTTAAGCTTGCTGATTAAATATCAAAAAATATAAATTATGTTAGCTTCAAGAATGATGCAATATTATTTCATTGACCAGTTCCAAGATTTAAAAAAAAAATCTTTGGCAAGTTATACTGTATTGAAGTCAACCTTTCTTGACTTAAAAAATATATTCAAGCAATCTCCACACTATTCATAATGAAAATACAATAAAAAGAAAAATTCACGTGTATAACAGCTTGCCTGCCACATGTACATGGTCACTATCCGAGTGTTTTTGAATTACAGTGGTGCCCCGAGTTTCGAAATGCTCCCAACTTGAACAATTATGTAAGTGTATTTGTGTAATTGCATTTACAAGTTTATTTTTGGGGGTCTGAAACAGACTAATCTAATTTACATTATTCCTTATGGGAACAAATATGTTCGGTACTGGCACTCGAACAGCATTCTGGAATGAAATAAGTTTGAAACTAGGTGTACCACTGTACAAACTGCCCTGTAATAATACTAGTCTTGCAGCTACCTTATCCATAAGAAGGGATTAATTTTGTTGATTAATAAATGTTGCCTATGTGTAAGGTGTATCCCAAAAGAAGGAAGTTCGAACAAGAACAGTAAAATATAATAAATGTTGGGAATGATGTGCCACTACAGCCCCTTAACAATTACTTGTGATTTTGTATACCTCAATAATTGAGGCTTATTTCAAATTCCACCTAGTCATTTAAATGTGTTCTATGGTATCCTTTTACTATATGGCATCCAAGCTAAGTGTTCCACTCTTCACAAAGGGAAGTTTTCAATATGAAGAATCACAGATATAGACAAGTTCACATTACCCAAGATGAAACTAATCATCATTCAGTACATCCTGGACCATTACCAAGTCTAGTTTCACCTCCAATTCCTGTTATCTTAGTTGTGAATTAATCCAGCCACTGTATTGTGACTTTTTTTCATCAAACTGGCTATATCACACTGAGGCAAGGTGACCTAAAAAGAAAAAAAGAAAAACAAAAGTTTCTCTTTTTAACTTTAGTGATGTATACAGGAGAAGGGGTTACTAGCCCCTTGCTCCTGACATTTTAGTCACCTCTTATGACACGCATGGTTTACGGAGGACGAATTCAGTTCCACTTCCCCATAGAGAAAAGAAGTTTGGAGGTTGCTGTTACAACCTGGTCAGTACTCCTCTAAAACTACTTATTGTTAAAAATTTATTCTAGCAAACAAACTGACCTGTGCAGTAAGTGTAGTGTAGGGGTTGTCAAGACCACCTGGTATATGGTATTGTTGGGCCATGTGCTGAACCTCTGTCACCAGAGAAATGATGGCCTGATATTCCTTGTCAGCCTCGCCCAGAGTTGCCTTGAACTGATTATGGGCATCAATCAAGCCCTGAATCTCTTCAATGGTGTGCACGATGAACATGTCCACCAAGTCTTCACATGCTCCATCCAGCCAGTTGTTGAAAGGCTGCAATATTAAAGCTGCATCACAATTCAATATTTCATGACTTTTTTTATATACCATGCCAATAAATATAAAGTCTGGTAGACAATATCCAATATACCATTTTTCTTACCACATCGGCTGTTTCCCACCAAGGCAGGATAATTCAAAGAAGGTAATAAAATTTATCTGTTTTTCAATAACTTATATAGAAAAGGGGATTACTAATTCCTCACATCCGGCATTTTAGTTTTCTTTTACAACAGGCAAAATCTGAGAAGCAAGGACAGTAACCTATTTCTCCACAGTAATATATAAATATATACTTTATTAATAACAGCTTTCAAGCAGATAACATTCTGAGAATAAAACAAGGCACATACTGCTGCCCTCTTGGCAAATTCAAGGTGAAGCTGATCAATCTTTTCCAGAAGTTTCTCTGTCTCTTCTAGAGCATTCCTGCGAGAGGTGGTGAGGGTTCCAAGACGATCCCATTGGTCACATATTGCCTGACAGCGTGAATTGATAGTGGCGGAGTCGTAGTAGTCCAAGGCATTCAGCTCTTGTGCAATTGCTGCAATCTGTTCTACACGGTCCTGGAAATATGCAAGAGACATTTTATTGTTAAAACAAGTCTTTCATTCATGAGTATATAAAATTCCTACCAGTGGAAGCTATGTCTAGTTATTAATATTAGTTCTTTGAACAAATCATTTATTATTGAAAAAAATTTCAAAAAAAAAAAAAAAATCTAACCTGGTGTGCAGCCAAATCGGATTCAAAGGCCTCGTGCTTCTTTTTGAGAGCCTTGAGTTCATTAAGTTTACAATGCCTGAAGTCTTGACTCTGTAACATTTCTTCTTTGCCTGCAGTCCAGGACTCATGGATCTCAGCCTTGTGCTTGAACTTCTTAGCAAGGTGCTCAAGACGCTCCAACCTGAATATCAGGGTAATTGTTGTGGTTTAGAAAACTCAAGTGAAGTTTTTATTAATCATTGTATTAGCAACCTTAACCTAGTTGCTAATACAATGCTTTCTAAATGCCTCAAAATTCAAAAATGACATTTATATACTAATCACAAACTTAAATTTAAAATTATGTTTATATGGGCCTCACAAAAAAGTATCAATACAATATAATTCCTTTGTGTCCATACCTAGTATACTGTAATATTTAATTTTACTCTACTTGAGTTTCCCAGTGCTATAACTACAACTCTTGCTAGTAACAGGACTACAGTTTAAAGGGTCCTCCCTGTCATTTTTACATTGTTTTGGTATTTTCCATTTGTATGCTAGTTCACCTCGTAGTTATCATCACATTCATGGGGGAAGCACTAAACCTGTAGGGCTCATATAGTGCCTTGGGGAATGGAAGGCATTCAGGCTTGATTCAAAGAATTGGAGGACAGATCCAATTCCTTATATCAAGAGCCCCTCACCAGCATTAAGGAACTTATCTTGATGGGGTCACCTTATAGTGAACTCCCTAAAATTATCGTCTAGAGCAAATAAGTTAGATCTGTACATTCCTTCAACACTGCTTGGTTTTCATCAATATCCAATAACTGCTTCTTTACTTTCTCTTTACTACTGCAATATGCACCTTCTCATTGAGTTCTGTATGTGTCCAAATAAAATGAATCTGGTGCAAGAGATAGAGAATAACCAGAAATCACTCCATTTACTGAAGACTGTTAACCAAACGTTAACAGCCTAACAAAACCTAGTGTTGTACTGTAGTAATAGTATTACAGTAGCAGCATTAAGAATTATACCTCATCATCTCAGAAAGCAGCCATTCTTCAAAAGATTTCTCACAGCCTTCAAGATTCTTCCATGCATTGGCGATATCAGTGACACTCTTCCCTTCAGAGGGAAGGTATGCAGGACGGTTAGAGAGGCGAAGTTTGGTCTGTTCATCAATAAAAAAAAAATAGAATTAAAAGGTAAACAAACTTCAAATCAAAGCAACTTCTTATAAATGAGCAAATTATAAATATGCATTTTGTAAATATGTATTTTGCAAATTATAAATGAACAATATTCTATAACAGTGAAGAAAAAATGTGTACCTGAAGCGTATTGAAGTTTGTCTCCAGTCTAGCTTTTTGCTCTACACGTGGGGGTTTGTGGTTGCGGCGGTACAGACGATACTCTTCTAACTTTTTCTGCAGATCAGCCAGAGTATTATCCTGCTGGCGGGCCTGGAGCCATGGCAAGGTGCGACGGATCCATTCCAGCAGGTCAGAGGTGAGGCGTTCGTATTCCTCCATGAGTCGCTCGTTCTCTTGGTTAACCTTCAGTACCTTGCAAATGCGGTTGGCTGCCATCTCAGCCTAGCCAATCAAAAGGGGTACTCAATTGGATAGTTTTTTTACATTTTTGGTGCACACAGTATGTAATGCAAAACAATAATTCTGGAAATTATATTTCATTTCTAACTTATCTAGATATGGATTTTAGCAACATATTCAAAGCCTTTAGATTTTTATGTCATTGACCAATAAGCCAGGTTCCATATTTAACCCTTCTAATAGACAACCTGTGTGCATTCAGGAGAAACCAATATATCACTCAAATTATGAATCCAAACAGTATGATAAATAATAAGAGATGCTATGTACCCAAAGATTTAAGTGACCTGTGACATCTTCCACCACTGAATGTATGTACAGTAGTTTCCAGATACAATAATTTAGAATGGGAAAGATATTCTCATTTGGTAACTCAATGGATAATTGGTCTGAGCTGAATATCAACATAAACTGCATGTTGTACCCTCCTGTATCAATAACCACATACCTTCTAGAGGATACAGATACATGCAAGAATGCTTGTAGTGAATTGAAAGAACTGAGTTAAGCAAAAGTACTTGGTGTTCCAAGCACTTTTGCTTAACTCAATTAAGTGAAATAGAATAAAAAGTGGGTGACATCTTTAGCATCTACTAGCTTAATAATCTGTAAACACCATTAAGAATGAACCATATTCTGATTTTAGAAAAAATTCTTACATTTGGAACTGGAATGGTATATAAATACTGACGAAGTAGAATAAATTACACTGAGATGCAGTGCATACCTTTATTAACCACAACTTTTTCCCCCACACTATGAGCTTTATCAAGTCAGTTTATTTCCCGATAAAGTCCACTGTGTAGGCAAAACATTGCCATTAGTGAAGGTATCCACTGCATCTACTGTAAGTTCATTCATTTGGAAGCATAGCAACAGTCCAGTACCTATTATAAACAATACTGTAATATATATTTTGGAAGCATAGCAGCAATCCAGTACCTAATTCAGTCAGTTGCTGTACACACAACCATCAGGGGTGTCCATGTAAAGGATACTTTATCAACACACTCACTGATACGTCCAATATTTCATCATGAAGGAACAAACAGCAAATCTTTCAAAATAATTGCCGATATGTTCATACTGAACCACAAGTGATTACCCATCAGAAGTTACAAGAGTAGAGCTACTGTACAGTTTGCCATATAATTTTTTTTAAAGTTTATGGTAGTTATATTAAATACTACCTCCTCCTGAATACCATTCTAGTACAGTATTCTAACTTTATCTGTATAGAATAACTTTCTATTACCTGTTTTTTCTTAGCTGACAATTCTACTTATTTGCCTGTCAACCACTGAGGTAATTTTCAGTGTTTTTTCAGTCTTGGTAGCTCTCATTTCATATGTGTTGGAATTTTTCTACCTTCACATGTTTTAGGTGCAGAAATATCACTACACACTGCATATTCCAATTTTGTTCTGATATGGTGTGTGTGTGAGCGTGTTAGATAGGAGTGGAGGCAACTAGTTTTTATGACTTGACGTGCTGTTGGAGTGTGAGCAAAGTAACACTTATGAAAAGATTCAGGAGAATCTGATTAGCCAAACTTGAGTCCTGGAGGTAAGAAATACAGTGTCTTCACTCTTAAGGAGGGGTGGGGATACTGTAGTCTGGAAGGGCATCTTAACTACAGCACCAATGCACCTCTGGCAAGGCAGTTATGGAGACAGTGTTGGTGAAAATGCTTCTTCTTTTTCAGGTCACCCTATTCAGTGGATGACAGCTGGTGTTAAAAAAAAATTTAATAGCTTCTTTAACATTTTGCTATCCATATACAGCATATATAAAGGCCATTTTGAAATTTGCCTGTGTAGCATATGACTTTCTAACTCCATGATATGTTAACTAATTACAATTTTTTGTCTTTAACCCTTTCACGATCCACAGGCCCTCTCAGAGACTTGTTCTCAGGGTCTCCCAAATTTCAAAAAAAAAAAAAAAAAATTATTTTTTTCTTATGAAAAGATAGAGAATCTTTTCCCGATCATAATGACACCAAAAGTATGAAATTTGATGGAAAACATACGGAATTATGCTCTCACGAAGTTAGCGGTCTCGACGAAGTTTACGCATCAGCGATTTTGCCCAATTTGAGCCCTATTTTCGACCAATTCCAATGTACTAGTCGATAAAAATCATAACTATTTTGCTAGAACTCCATTTTTTCTATCAAATGAGTACAAGAAACTCCCAATTTACTGATTTCAACTATCCAATACAGTGGTCAGAATTTAGCAATTTTGCCAATTGCACACAAATTTCAAAAGATGCCAATTTCCAAATAGGGTCCAGAATAAACAAGAAAGACATTCCTGGCACTAAAATAACATTTCCTTTGTTCATAAGTCACATCTCCATGCCCCTCTTACATTTGTTTTGCTTTCAACTTTGAATTTTTATTCTCAAAAAAAATAAGATTTACTGTTATGCAGACTACTGCATTAGTGTAGAAATGTTATAAATAATATCAGCGCACTTGTGAAAGAACATTAGACTCACCAGTTGACGTGTATTGGACGCTTAGCATGATTTGTTACTTTTGAACTTTGGTAAAAATCGAACATTTCTGCTTCTTTGAGCTCAATTTCAAGGTACTTTTCATTGTAAAACCAGTCAAAATCATCTCAATTTCTGTAATATGTCTTCCATTCTATGCAATGAGACCAGGAAAACTAGAATACAACAATAAATACCATACGAAAATATAGTGCAAAGTCTCTGTTTTAATCCAAAAACATGGTCAAAGTTTTTTTTCTTCTCATTACGCACTGTATGCTGCAGGATTTTTTTATACTGCGCACACTGACCATATAGACCCATTCTTTCATAGGTAGGCCTACCAGCTTTCTCTCACTAGATTTGAAGGCGCTAGAATTTATGCGTACTAGTACGTCATGGACACTGGTGCGTAAGCCGTACTAGTACGTCCGAAACCCTGAAAGGGTTAATTACACCTGTCCCACTCCAAATTGGTCTTGACTAATTAATATGTCCTTTCAGCTTTGTTATTTTCTTATATCCTTGACTTTCTTTTTCTTTACAAATTCTTCCTTATGGCTGACCATCAAATGCTAGCCGTAACAGCCTGCTATAATCTATACAATATCTTTCTATTCTTCTCTATACTGCTACATGTTTTTTACTGCTGAAATTGTCTATGAATTTTATTATCATACTGATCTGCTCTTCTTCAACCCTTTTTAATTGTTTTAATTTTCTCTCTCAACAGACAAAAACACTATTTTGTCTCTCAAAAATGTCGTTAATTAGCTTAGTTTTATCTGTAAGTTCCTTTTTTCATCTCGCTGTTTATATCTGCCTTTGTGATCCTGTCTTTTACCTTACGCAATACTGCAATTATGAATTCTGCATTTTACTTGTCAGCATTCACAAAGCTTTTTTCTACCTTTGTTTTGAATGCATCTGTCTCTTTACTCAAAATTTTTATTATCTGATTTAACATACTATTTTGTTTTGTTACATTTTGTTTCTTTTTTATTTATTTATTCTGCATGGCTCCCAACTCTATTATTGTGTTATCTAGCCAAGTTTCTCTCTCTCACTGCTTTCTGTTCATAATATTTTACCATTATGTTAGCTCATTAATTTTCTTTTCTTATTTTGTCCTGACTGAGCTCCACCCTTATTTTTCACATTAATACCTTTTGGTTTACAAAAGTTTGAAAGTCACCTTGACGATGTTGCCACTTACCTATATCTACTGTAATTTTTTTTTGTCTTCTCTATATATTTTAGTAATGTTATAGTTGTGATAGGCCAATTTGTTACAAAACTTCCTAGCTAGGTACTATCTGCTGTTAACTGAACTCTATTGGCAGTGTAGCATGGCAACTAAGCTAGGATAGGCATTGAACATGTACCTGTTGTAATGCAAATGTTCTGTTAAAATCTTCATCACTGAAATTTTTGTAAAAAAAAAAAAAAAAAAAAAAATATTTCTACTTCAGTACATGTTGATATGAATAGTTTGTAAAATAAATGTGTAATGTTTGTAAAAATTTTGTGTAATATTTGTAAAATATGTATAAACTGATTTTAATACACTAGAAATAAAAAGTTAATGCATCAAAAAACAAACAGTGCATTAAAAAAATATGTAAGATGTTATGACACTGCCAATATATACACAACAATATAAACACAAAATTGTGTGGGCAGGAATTTTAAAAGGTGTGCATTTTTGGAAGCAGCTAGAAATTGCATAGAGATGTAAAAAGCAATAAGAAATACGGAGTACTATCTATGTTTAATGAATAAAATAACTTGAGATATGGGTATTGCTAAATTTCACTGAATACTCTGGTAGTTAACATAAGTCTTCAATGCTGATGGCAAACGAAATAATTTCCCTGCAAGTGTAATAAATTTCATATAAAGATTCTCCTTCATGTCAATTAGTTAAGTGGTTTGCAAATGTTACTAACCTTCTGCACACCAGTAAATGTGTGGTAATACGAGGATACATATGTCATGACAGCTCGTTCGTCCGGCACACCTTCTGATATGTCTGTAATGTACATAGTTAGTAAGACAAACACCTGCACTATTAGCAGCTCTAAATACTTTTTAATTAGTTCAGCAACAAGGCACACGCTTTAAAATTAGGTTAAAGGACAATAACAACATAGAAAATCAAAATGCTAAACTAAAGTACAGAATATCCGGCATATCTGCATCCGAGTGGTGTGTAAGCGAACTGCTGTGGAGCGGACGTCAATCATGAAAATGATGGTTATAGGATACTAATTACTATGAAAGAGCATCAACAAAGGTGAATAAAGAAACCTCATGCACAGGCATCAATACAGGCAATGATAGTAGTTTTTACTGAACATAACAAGAACATTAGGCCAAGAGATTACAGGCTTAATTTATGTACAGTGCAACCTACACATTCTCAGAAATCCTTGCAAATCAAGAAACTGTATATACCATTAAAAGTTGTCCATATTATAAATTTTTGTTTCAGTTTTTGGGCTCATTTTGTTTCAAAGGCTCTCTCTCTCTTTAAAGGCTGCTCTAATCTTATTAATATTGACAGTCATAAAGCAGAATGCCCAGAGAAAGATTCTGGCACAAGTAATCAAGCAAGCACACTTTTAAATGGGGAATGTGTGTGAAAAAAATGAAATCTTCTAATTTATTTGCAGAAGGCTCTTCAGTCAATAACGTGAATAATGTAACCAGAGAATTCAGAGTATCATGAATTCGTAGGGAGCATCGTACAACAAAAATGGCATGTGGATAGTTTCTCTACCATCATTGCTGAAACTTGTGTGGACATACAATAGTGACTATCTCATGCATGTTATAAAATGTTACTATTTGGGCTAAACAGCTCAAAAACAAAACATCTAAGAAACAGTTAACATATTAATATCAATGTTATAAAAGAAGAAATGTGGACCATTACACAAGCTAGAGGCTATGCAGTCACTGGGGCATATCTCCAGCACTTGACTTTACATTCTAAACAGCCAGTCAGCACATATGTTGTTCCAGCCTTTACTTTGCTTGCTTCTGCAGCTGCTGCACTTTGGCTGCTCAATACTGCTGTAACTACTGCAGTGTTAGTCCAAGAAACAATCTACAAATATCTCAGATAGACTCAGAATGCAGTAAACGATTTACTTTCTTAGGAAAATAAATAATGCTTTAATTACTGGAGGAATGCAATACTGCATTGATGTTTTGCAATACACTGAAAGAAACTGTGCTAGACTGAGTCTGCCAAGACATTTGAAAATTCTGATTTCTAGCATGAAAGTGGTATCAACAAATATAAAAGAGGAAATAGATGAATTTTATGTCAAGTATCTAAAGTGTTATCATCATCCTCTGGAAATATCAAGACAATTACCAAGTTGCATGATATCTGTTGATATGTATTTTATGCTTGAATTTTAATGTGGACAAAAATGCTGGGTGAGCAGGGGTCTAGTATCCTGGGTGAGGGGTAGCGCGCCACTGGGCCCATGCTCGTATGGGACCATGTGTTTACCTGCTGGGCCCCCTGGAAGGCATGGTAGTAGCAAGACACGTAGGTCATGATGGCCCGCTCATCAGCCTTTGGGGTATTCACCAGATCTGAAAACACCCCCATTATCTTCATTACTACAGCACTACTGTCATGTGGTATATGGGTATCAGCAGCTCAACTGGAATCCTTCGCTAACTTTCCACGTTAGTTCAGCCATCAAAAATTAGAGAAAAGACACCAAATACAGAAAACTCAAGATCAGCATCAGTTGGTTTTCTGCACTGTAGAATTATCTGTATAAAAATTTTTATAATAAAATTAAAGTGGATAATAAAGATTAAGTCAATATAGTATACTTATAGGTTGAATTGAAAACAAACTTTAGATATTTAACAACTTAATGGTGGTCAGCTACCTACCATCGGGGTCCAACATCCTAGGGATATCAAGATGCTTCTCAGCAATGTCGAAGGCAAGATTAAGGTTGTGGAGGGGATCATCCTTGGACAACTGAGAGTAGTCCAGCAGGTCGGGTCTGTGACGATGGATGAGGGCACAGAATGCAAGACCATCCTGAAAAACAAATGTTAATGAGAAAATAGAAAGGTCAAAAATTTTAATGATTTTTCTACTAGCATTCTTAACCAAGAACAGTGTAAACACTAACTGCACAATAAACTTGCACTATGTATCCAAATGAAATTCATGACTTTTTAGAGCAATCCAAAAATTTAATCACTTGTAGATTTGCCACAAGGAAAATGGTTAACTAATGTTATGCAATTTTTTATATGATAATATGAATTTTGACACACACAAAAAAAAAAAAACCTTGCAACCAAATCAAGCCTTGTTAATATTTATGTAATATAAAATAGATTAAATCTAAATGTTTACACAACTTTATATGAGTGCTTTTCCTTGCAGGGTATGTGAACTGACAGGTGATCAAATAAAAGTTATGTTGTAAAAAAATTTAACCTTAAAGGAGGTGTGGAAGTTCTGAACATTGACGTTCTTGTAAGGAGCAGTCTTACGCTGGCACCAGAGCAAGAGACCCTCCTTGGCAGTCATCTCCTCTACACTAATATCCTGAATGGCGAACCTCAGAATAATGGTCCAGATCATACCCAACGTCATCTTCAGGTTGCCATCAACAATTTCTGCAACAAAAATGAGTAATAAGTACAACAATATTTGACAACTTTTAAACTAGGGTCACAATGTATAAAAAGTACAAATTACACAAATATATCTGTAATATAGGTACTAGGTTGGTAGATAGCAACCACCCAGGGAGGTACTACCATCCTGCCAAGTGAGTGTGAAATGAAAGCCTGTAATTGTTTTACATGATGGTAGGATTGCTGGTGTCTTTTGTCTGTCTCATAAATATGCAAGATTACAGGTACATCTTGCTACTTCTACTTACACTTAGGTCACACTACACATACATGTACATGTTTATTTATACACACTCATCTGAGTTTTCTTTGATTTTATCTTAATAGTTCTTGGTCTTATTACTTTTCCTTTTATATCCATGGGGAAGTGGAATGAGAATCTTTCATCCGTAAGTCATGCATGTTGTAAAAGTCAACTAAAATGCTGGAAACAATGGGCTAGTAACCCCTTTTCCTGTAATAATTACTAAAAAGAATAAGAAGAAGAAAATTGTCAAAGTGGGAAGTCTGAATGTGAGTGGATGTTGTGCAAATGATAAGAAAGAGATGAAAATAAATGGTATAAAATACCGACACAATGGAAACAAACACATATGCAGTTTAATGTGATCCTTTATTGACAACGTTTTGCCCACACAGTGGGCTTTTTCAAGTCACACAGATCTACATGGGGTGGAAGGTACGGGAGTATTTATAGTCAGGTTCAGAATGTTGAGGTCAGGTGGAGAATGCTGCATCTGATGATCTACCGGGTGGGGTTATAGAGTCTTGGGTAGCTTGGCAGGGATATTGGACAAGTTGTGAGTAGACCTTCTGCAGTGTTCTATGTTCTTATGTGGGATAACGATGAAGAAGTTTCTTGGCGAGTGGTTCAGCTATGTTATAGAAGCCGTTGTTCTGGTTGAAATTGTTGGTTATAGAGATAAGCGATGATTCCAGGATTCTTCGGTATTGAGTGTTGTCTTTTGTGGCGATAAGTCTTGAGTTTATGTAGTTAATTAAATGGTTGTGTGAAAGACAACACTCAATACCGAAGAATCCTGGAATCATCGCTTATCTCTATAACCAACAATTTCAACCAGAACAACGGCTTCTATAACATAGCTGAACCACTCGCCAAGAAACTTCTTCATCGCTATCCCACATAAGAACATAGAACACTGCAGAAGGTCTACTCGCAACTTGTCCAATACCCCTGCCAAGCTACCCAAGACTCTATAACCCCACCCGGTAGATCATCAGATGCAGCATTCTCCACCTGACCTCAACATTCTGAACCTGACTATAAATACTCCCGTACTTTCCACCCCAGGTAGATCTGTGTGTGACTTGAAAAAGCCCACTGTGTGGGCAAAACGTTGTTAATAAAGGATCACATTAAACTGCATATGTGTTTATGTTTCCATAAGAAAGAGATGATTGTGGATGTTATGAATGAGAAGAAGCTGGATGGCCTGGCTTTAAGTGAAACAAAGCTGAAGGGGGTGGGAGAGTTTCAGTGGAGAGGAATAAATGGGATTAGGTCAGGGGTTCCAAACAGAGTTAGAGCTAAAGAAGGAGTAGCAATAATGTTGAAGGATAAGTTATGGCAGGAAAAGAGGGACTATAAATGTATTAATTCAAGGATTATGTGGAGTAAAATAAAGGTTGGATGTGAAAAGTGGGTTATAGTAAGTGTATATGCACCTGGAGAAGAGAGAAGTGTAGAGGAGAGAGAGTGAGTTTGGGAAATGTTGAGTGAATGCGTGGGGAGTTTTAAACCAAGTGTGAGAGTAATGGTGGTTGGGAATTTCAATGCTAAAGTGGGCAAAAATGTTGTGGAGGGAGTAGTAGGTAAATTTGGGGTGCCAGGGGTAAATGAAAATAGGGAGCCTTTAATTGAGCTATGTGTATAAAGAGGTTTGGTAATAAGTAATACACATTTTATGAAGAAGAGGATAAATAAGTATACAAGGTATGATATAGCATGTAATGAAAGTAGTTTGTTAGATTATGTATTGGTGGATAAAAGGTTGATGGGTAGGCTCCAGGATATACACGTTTATAGAGGGGCAACTGATATATCGGATCATTATTTAGTTGTAGCTACAGTTAGAGTAAGAAGTAGATGGGAAAAGAGGAAAATGGCAACAACAAGCAAGAGGGAGGTGAAAGTGTATAAACTAAGGGAGGAGGAAGTTCGGGTGAGATATAAGCAACTATTGGCAGAAAGGTGGGCTGGTGTGAGTATGAGTAGTGGGGGGGTGGGGGGAAGGAGGGTTGAAGAGGGTTGGAATAGTTTTAGAAATGCAGTATTAGAATGTGGGGCATAAGTTTGTGGTTATAGGAGGGTGGGTGCAGGAGGAAAGAGGAGTGATTGGTGGAATGATGAAGTAAAGGGTGTAATAAAAGAGAAAAAGTTAGCTTATGAGAGGTTTTTACAAAGCAGAAGTGTTATAAGAAGAGTAGAGTATATGGAGAGTAAAAGAAAGGTAAAGAGAGTGGTGAGAGAGTGCAAAAGGAGAGCAGATGATAGAGTGGGAGAGGCACTGTCAAGAAATTTTAATGAAAATAAGAAAAAATTTTGGAGTGAGTTAAACAAGTTAAGAAAGCCTAGAGAACGAATGGATTTGTCAGTTAAAAACAGAGTAGGGGAGTTAGTAGATGAGGAGATGGAGGTTTTGGGTAGATGGCGAGAATATTTTGAGGAACTTTTAAATGTCGACGAAGAAAGGGAAGCGGTAATTTCATGCACTGGCCAGGGAGGTATACCATCTTTTAGGAGTGAAGAAGAACAGGATGTGAGTGTGGGGGAGGTGTGTGAGGCATTATGTAGAATGAAAGGGGGTAAAACAGCTGGAACTGATGGGATCATGACAGAAATGTTAAAAGCAGGGGGGGGGGGGTACTTTTGTTTAATAAATGTATGAAAGAGGGGAAGGTACCTAGGGATTGGCAGAGAGCATGTATAGTCCCTTTATATAAAGAGAAGGGGGACAAAAGAGATTGTAAAAATTATAGAGGAATAAGTTTACTGAGTATACCAGGAAAAGTGTACGGTAGGGTCATAATTGAAAGAATTAGAGGTAAGACAGAATGTAGGATTGCAGATGAGCAAGGAGGTTTCAGAGTGGGTAGGGGATGTGTAGATCAAGTGTTTACATTGAAGCATATATGTGAACAGTATTTAAATAAAGGTAGGGAAGTTTTTATTGCATTTATGGATTTAGAAAAGGCATATGATAGAGTTAAGGTAGTAGGTTGGTAGACAGCAACCACCCAGGGAGGTACTACCGTCCTGCCAAGTGAGTGTAAAACGAAAGCCTGTAATTGTTTTACATGATGGTAGGAGTGCTGGTGTCCTTTTTTCTGTCTCATGAACATGCAAGATTTCAGGTACGTCTTGCTACTTCTACTTACACTTAGATCACACTACACATACATGTACAAGCATATATATACACACACCCCTCTGGGTTTTTTATATTTTCTTTATAGTTTTGTTCTTGTTATTTCCTTTATCTCCTGTATGGAAGGTGGAACAAGAATTCTTCCTCTAAGCTATGCGTGTTGTACGAGGCACTAAAAAATGCAGAGCAAGGGCTAGTAACCCATTAGTCCTGTATATAATACTAAATATGAAAGGGAAATTGTTGTTTTTCTTTTGGGCCAACACACCATCGGTGGGAACGTTATTGCTTTTGGTTGAGAAAAGGCATATGATAGAGTTAAGGTAGTAGGTTGGTAGACAGCAACCACCCAGGGAGGTACTACCGTCCTGCCAAGTGAGTGTAAAACGAAAGCCTGTAATTGTTTTACATGATGGTAGGAGTGCTGGTGTCCTTTTTTCTGTCTCATGAACATGCAAGATTTCAGGTACGTCTTGCTACTTCTACTTACACTTAGATCACACTACACATACATGTACAAGCATATATATACACACACCCCTCTGGGTTTTCTGCTATTTTCTTTATAGTTCTTGTTCTTGTTTATTTCCTCTTATCTCCATGGGGAAGTGGAACGGAATTCTTCCTCTGTAAGCTATGCGTGTCGTAAGAGGCGACTAAAATGCCGGGAGCAAGGGGCTAGTAACCCTTTCTCCTGTATATATTACTAAATTTAAAAGGAAAAACTTTTGTTTTTCCTTTTGGGCCACCCCACCTTAGTGGGATACGGCTGGTGCGTTGAAAGAAAGAAAGATATGATAGAGTGGATAGGGGAGCAATGTGGCAGACGTTGCAAGTAGTATATGGAATAGGGGGTAAGTTACTAAATGCTGAAAAGAGTTTTTATGAGGATAGTGAGGCTCAGGTTAGGGTGTGTAGAAGAGAGGGAGACTACTTCCCGGTAAAAGTAGGCCTTAGATAGGCCTTAGATGGTTGTTTAATATATTTATAGATGGGGTTGTAAAAGAAGTAAATGCTAGGATGTTCGGGAGAGGGGTAGGATTAAATTATGGGGAATCAAATACAAAATGGGAATTGACACAGTTGCTCTCTGCTGATGATACTGTGGTTATGGGAGATTCTAAAGAAAAATTGCAAAGGTTAGTGGATGAGTTTGTGTGTAAAGGTAGAAAGTTGAAAGTGAACATAGAAATGAGTAAGGTGATGAGGGTATCAAATGATTTAGATAAAGAAAAATTGGATATCATATTGGAGAGGAGGAGTATGGAAGAAATGAATGTTTTCAGATACTTGGGAGTTGACGTGTCAGCAGATGGATTTATGAAGGATGAGGTTAATCACAGAACTGATGAGGGAAAAAAGGCGAGTGGCGCGTTGAGGTATATGTGGAGACAAAAAACGTTATCTATGGAGGCAAAGAAGGGAATGTCTGAAAGAATAGTAGTACGAACACTCTTATATGGGTGTGAAGCTTGGGTTGTGAATGCAGCAGCGAGGAGGCAGTTGGAGGCAGTGGAGATGTCCTGTCTAAGGGCAATGTGTGGTGTAAACATTATGCAGAAAATTCGGAGTGTGGAAATTAGGAGAAGGTGTGGAGTTAACAAAAGTATTAGTCAGAGGGCTGAAGAGGGGTTGTTGAGGTGGTTTGGTCATTTAGAGAGAATGGATCAAAGTAGTATGACATGGAGAGCATTTAAATCTGTAAGGGAAGGGAGGAAGGGTAGGGGTCGTCCTCGAAAAGGTTGGAAGGGTAAGGGAGGTTATGTGGGCGAGGGGCTTGGACTTCCAACAGGCGTGCATGAGCGTGTTTGATAGGAGTGAATGGAGACGAATGGTATTTGGGACCTGACGATCCGTTGGAGTGTGAGCAGGGTAATATTTAGTGAAGGAATTCAGGGAAACCGGTTATTTTTATATAGCCGGGATGAGTCCTGGAAATGGGAAGTACAATGCCTGCACTCTAAAGGAGGGGTTTCGGGATATTAGCAGTTTGGAGGGATATGTTGTGTATCTTTATATGTACGTATATGCTTCTAAACTGTTGTGTTCTGAGCACCTCTGCAAAAAACAGTGATTATGTGTGAGTGAGGTGAAAGTGTTGAATGATGATGAAAGTATTTTCTTTTTGGGGATTTTCTTTCTTTTTGGGTCACCCTGCCTCGATGGGAGACGGCTGACTTGTTAAAAAAAAAAAAAATCTGTAATATACCTGTTACTGGTTTTGAGAGTTTTTCTACCCTTACAGTCTTGCCTGAGGCCAGGCTTTTCTGTTGACTGTTCAACCAGTCTGCTGCTGCTGCTGCTGGGGGCCCACTGGGTCATGTACGCAACACAGGCTGGGTGATCTGGCACTTGGCAGAGGTATTTATCCAGTTTCCTCTTGAAAACTTCTACACTTGTTCCAGAAATGTTCCTAATATCTGCTGACAGAAGGTCTTGGACTACAGATGTTGACACAATGTTTTCTTATTGCTTTTCAATGGGTCTATTTTACACCTCCTCCAACATCTTTCATTCCAATATGTTATGGTCTGTGTAGATTTGGAAATAGGCCCTCAAGTCAACCTACAGTTATTAACATGAGAAGAATGAGCAGTTTCATGTAGTATCATGCAAGCAACTGGAAACATTTTATCCCCATGTAACTTAACACGGTATCAGCAGCCCCTATATGACCTATACCTAACTACCATGGTTATACTAGCTGCAGCTAGCATAGCCATGGTAGTTAATGCTACAATGACTATGGTAGTTGTTTCTTCCACAGCCATGGTAGCTGCAGCTTCCACAATCATAGTAGCAGCAGCTTTCACAGTCTTGTTAGCTTTAGCTTCCATAGTCATGATTGCAGCTTCCACAGTCATCCTGGCTACAGCTTCCATGACTATGTTGGCAGCAGTTAAATAGTCAAGCCAATTATACAGTATAAAGAGTAGGTTCAATTGTAAGTTTGTCAATTTTACTTAAATGGTAGCTTGTCTTTTGTGTATGAACTTTGTTTTAAAAACTTGCAATTAAATAACTTTAATTAAATTGAGCAAATGATACAAGATTGACATTTTCAAATACCTGAAATTTCCTGAAATGTACAGTAAGTGGTTTTCAGTAAGTAAAACTACTATTTTATTACAATCAGGAGGCCTGGTCTAGGACTTGGCCATGGCAGGAACTACAGGTAACCTACAGGTATTTGGATGATGTGGCATACTGCTGAAAAGTACGAAGACCAAGACAAAGACACAAGTTGTTGAAGTATTTACTAGGACATCTGTTGTGAAAAGCTTTAATACGTCTAATTGTGAGTTGATAAAGCTCTACAGGGTGAAATGTTGTCCCAATAAAAGCTTCTTCTACAACTTGTATCCTTGTCATCAAACATACATACTTAAAAACAAAAAGGGTAAAAACTATTTAACAAAAATACCATTATAGTATTTATAAGAACATGCACTAACAAAAAATTAGTATCATCATGCTAAGTTAAAAATAACATGCATAATGTTTAAAAAATTTGAAATGTTAAGTGTCAAAAGCCTCTAAAATTTTCCTGAGGTCCCTACAGGCATCCCATAATAATAATAATAATAATAATAATAATAATAATAATAATAATAATAAAACACTACTACTTGTGGAAAGAGGTCAAAGCCATGGGCAAACAGTTAAAATGTTCTCTATAATTATCACTTGTTTGTAATAGAATATAATGCCCAAAATAAGTATAACTGTGTGATCACTTATGAATGAAAATTATTATTAATATTGTAAGCTGTAGTAGTAAAATTATCACTACTGATAAGAATTATCATGGCTTACTTTTTCGTTATTACTGAAATGATAATGGCTATTACACACGTGTGTGATGTAAGTACGCACCTTCAGCACCAATTGATACCAGCTTCACACCTTTGCTGGCAATGAAGTCAAGTGCCTTGTTCACATTGGCAATCTTGTGGAACCTCATCTTGCCTCGGTCGGGTTTGGGCAGAGTCTCGCCGGAGATGACCTGTAACATAACACTTGTCAGTAATGACTGCCATCCATTCTAACACACAGACTATCACAGACCAATCTTTAACTTAACACCTATTAGCAACTTATTATCAGCAGTAACAGGTTCACAATAAACAATATAGTGTAACCTGGATGGAGAGAATGCTGAAACAATACAAAGCTAAAAGGAGAGAACTGGGAACCACATGGATGTGTGGAGTGACACTGATCAAGGTAATGATGGGAAACTCTTGAAAAAGTTGGGATAAGCCAATGAGACTAGACCTTGTTTTCACACTAAATGAGGCAGATGTAGGAGAAATTAACTAATGCGTTACTAAGAGTAGACTGCACATTTCTGGATTGTTATAAGACATTCGACATTGTTCTCCACAAGAATCAAGGCCACTAACAAAAAGAGCAAGCAGGGATAATAGAAAACATAAGATGTTGCATCAAGGAATATCTTAATAGAGATAAAGCGATGGTCTAGCAAGTGGTTGGGATGGACAAACATGAGTAGCAGTGTTCCATAAAGTTTCATATTGGAACCAATACTGTTCCTGATAAATGTAAACAACATGCATGTTTGTGGATGAAGTATGGGTAATATGACGAGTAAGTACCAAAGAAGACAGGGAAGGTAAGCATGCCACACTCACACACACACACACACACACACAGGGCAGAGGGTAAGTGCCACACACATATAGGGCAGAAAGGATGACACACACACACACACACACACACACACACACACACACACACACACACACACACACACACACACACACACATGTAGTGAAGGCAGGATCCATACATAGCATTAAGAAGAGATAAAATAAAGCTCATGGAGCAGGAAGAGAGTGGACCTAATAGTGACCAGCGAAGAGGTGGGGACAGAAGCTGTGAATTGACCCCTGCAACCACAAATGGGTGAGTATACATATACATAAGGCAGAAAGTAAGGGTGACAGACAGAGACAGGGCAGAAGGTAAAGGTGCCCCCCCCTACACACTTAAGGGTTTCACATACATGGGAGAAAGAAAAAATAAAGGTGAAACATACACAGGGCAGAAGATAAAAGTCTCCCATACACATTGCAGAAGGTAAGGGTGCCACACGCATAATAGAGAGTAAGGGTGCCCCACACACAGAACAGAAAGTAAGGGTGCCCCACACACAGGACAGAAGGTAAGGGTGCCACACACACAGGACAGAAGGTAAGGGTGCCCCACTTACAAAGGGCAGAAGGTAAGGGGTGCCCTACACAAACAGGGTAGAAGGTAAGGGTACCCCCACACACACAGGGCAGAAGGTAAGGGGCGCCCCATACCCACACACACACAGGGCAAAAGGTAAGGGTGCCCCACACAGAACAGAAGGTAAGGGTGCCCCACACACAGGACAGAAGGTAAGGGTGCCACACACACCGGACATAAGGTAAGGGTGTCACACACACTGGACAGAAGGTAAGGGTGCCACACACACACACACACAGGACAGAAGGTAAGGGGCGCCCCATACCCAAACACACAGGGCAGAAGGTAAGGGTGCCCCACACACAGAACAGAAGGTAAGGGTGCCCCACACAAAGGACAGAAGGTAAGGGTGCCACACACACAGGACAGAAGGTAAAGGTGCCACACACACAAGACAGAAGGTAAGGGTGTCACACACACTGGACAGAAGGTAAGTGTGCCCCTCACACACATAATAGAAGGTAAGGGTGCCACAAACTGAAGGTAAAGGTGCCACCCACAATTGAAGGTAAGGTTGCCACACACATAATTGAAGGTAAGGGTGCCACACACATAATTGAAGGTAAGGGTGCCACACACATAACTGAAGGTAAGGGTGCCACACACACAACTGAAGGTAAGGGTGCCACACACACAACTGAAAGTAAGAGTGCCACACATAATTGAAGGTAAGGGTGCCACACACACCTAGGGTAGAAGGTAAGTGTGCCTCACCTCGAGCAGAAGCATAAGCTTGAGCCCATTGCGGAATTCCTCCTCTATGCTCTCGATGAGGGTGCCCGCCTTGCGGAGATGGGAGTTGCACCAGGCGGTGAATGTCTGAAACAAGCATTAACATTATAGTAATACACCTTGTATATGTCGTGTCGAATAAGCAGAACTTGCGATTTTGGCTTAAATAGCAACGCTCATCTTGCCATATAACACAAGCAAAAATTTGTTTATGCAACAATTTCGCAAAAATCATTCTGAACCTAACGAAAAAAAATATATTTCATTGCGTTTATTTATTATTAAATTATTGTAAACGTATCTAAAATATAGTCGGATTAGGCTAAAATAAATTGAGCTTGTTATAATAAGGTTAGGTAAGTTTTCTAAGATTCTTTTGGTGCAAAATTATAAATTTTTACATTAACATTAATGAAAAATATATATCTTTAAACGTATAAGATAAAAATTTAGAAAGGACTTAATTTTAAATGAGTTCTTGCTAATTGACCAGTTTTACATATTCGGCACGACATATATTAAATAAAAAATAAACAATGCCTATAAAAATCTAGGACAATGATTAATTTAATAAAAACAAAATCTGCGTGGATGTAGAATCATTCCTTTACTATTTTTTTTAGACAAAACTGATTTACTCTCTATTATGATTACAATCAAAACTAATTATTATTATTATAATCAAAAAGAAGCGCTAAACCACAAGGGCTATACAGCGAAATCAAAACTAAGCGCTAACAAACCATACCACGGGCGGGGATAGAACCCGCGAGGGTCATGCAGCGTTGAAATGATTACCTTGTTTTCCAAGGAGTATTCGACTGAATTTATTTCGGTAATGGAGTTTTTTGTACATTCCCAAAATCTGTAATTTTGCCATAAAAGAGGTTGTTAGTGTACAACAATATTCCAGTCTAGAAGTTACAGGTGCCCTCAAAAATATCGGTTGCTTGGCATGTTTTCCTTTAAAAGTTACTGTTATCCAGATTATCATCTTTCTTGCATTTATGATGGTTGTTGTTCTATTTTATTTACAATGCACTAGAATCTTTCGGTTATTCTGAGCTTTAAACAATATGATGTTCAATGAGGACAAATTCCAACTACTCCGTTATGGAAAACTGGAGGAGATAATAACTAGAACAGAGTATACTACTGACTCCGGCCATACAATAGAGCGGAAAAATAATGTAAGGGACCTGGGAGTAGTAATGTCTGAGGACCTCACTTTCAAGGATCACAACAGTGCCACGATCGCACGTGCAAAGAAAATGATAGGATGGATAATGAGAACTTTCAAAACGAGAGATGCCAAGCCCATGATGATCCTTTTCAAATCACTTGTTCTCTCTAGGTTGGAATACTGCTGTACATTAACATCTCCATTCAAAGCAGGTGAAATCGCAGATCTAGAGAGTGTACAGAGATCCTTTACTGCACGTATAAGTTCTGTCAAGCACCTTAACTACTGGGAACGCTTGGAAGCACTTGACTTGTACTCGTTGGAACGCAGGAGGGAGAGATATATCATAATCTACACTTGGAAAATCTTGGAAGGAATGGTCCCAAATCTGCACACAGAAATTACTCCCTACGAAAGTAAAAGACTGGGCAGGCGATGCAAAATGCCGCCAATAAAAAGTAGGGGCGCCATTGATACACTAAGAGAAAACACCATAAGTGTCCGGGGCCCAAAACTGTTCAACAGCCTCCCATCAAGCATTAGGGGAATTGCCAATAAACCCCTGGCTGCCTTCAAGAGAGAGCTGGACAGATACCTAAAGTTAGTGCCGGATCAGCCGGGCTGTGGCTCGTACGTTGGACTGCGTGCGGCCAGCAGTAACAGCCTAGTTGATCAGGCCCTGATCCATCGGGAGGCCTGGTCGTGGACCGGGCCGCGGGGGCGTTGATCCCCGGAATAACTTCCAGGTAACCTCCAGGTAAGCATAAACCCCAACATGTATACTATATAAAGGTTAGCAAGAACAGGGGATAGAGAGCCCACAGCGACACTAAAGGTTTGAGAATAAAATTTACTTTGAAAGGAAAAAGAATCAAGAGTCCACACAAAGGCAAATAAGATCAAGAAAGGCATCAGTAGGTATAGGGAGATGAAGTAACCCTTCACTGGCCTCTCTCTCTCTCTCTCTCTCTCTCTCTCTCTCTCTCTCTCTCTCTCTCTCTCTCTCTCTCTCTCTCTCTCTCTCTCTCTCTCTCTCTCTCTCTCTCTCTCTCTCTCTCTCTCTGAAAAAATTAAGATCATCAAGAGGGACATTGAAGAGGGACTCAAACCTCTGGTGTTGCTATGGGCTTTGCTGTCCTCTGTTTTTGCTAACCTTTATATGAAATACTCCCAAACTGTTCTTCGTACTATTGGTGTGCGCCCTTCCCAACATGTAAAGTCTGTACCCTCCTCTACCCCAACCCCAGCCAACACCCTACCTGTAGCACGTCTTACCCTTCACAACAATGCAAACCTTATACACAATCTCCAACTCTTGAACCATCAAAGGAGACGCTAACCTCTTGTCATACAAATGAGAACTGGAAGCCTGTTAAATGTTTGGCACTCTGACAAGATTGCTGATGATGTCTCTTCTCTCATGGACACGTAAAATATATGATATACCATACCTTTACCTTTGATATACCTTTGAAGAGTTTCGAGTTTATCTACTCTCTGAGCCTGGCCATGGGCCAGGCTCGTCTGGTGCTTGCTGGTCAACCAGGCTGTTGCTGCTGGAGGCCCACTGCCCCACATATCCATCACAGCATGGTTGATCTGGCACCTGGTAAAGGTACTTCTCCAGTTTCCTCTTGAAGGCTTCTACACTTGTTCCAGCAGTGTTTCTGATATCTTCTGGTAAGATGTTGAAAAGTCTGGGACCCCGGATGTTGATACAGTGTTCCCTTATTGTCCCCACCGCACCCCTGCTCCTCACTGGGCTTATTTTACACTTCCTCCCATATCTCTCACTCCAGTATGTTGTTATGGCAGTGTGCAGATTTGGGACCAAGCCCTCGAGTACCTTCCAAGTATATTTATCATGTACCTCTCTCTCAAACCATACCACGGGCGGGGATAGAACCCGCGATCAGAGTCTCAAAACACCAGACCGTCACGTTAGCCACTGGACCAGCTAGCTGGTCCAGTGGCTAACGTGACGGTCTGGAGTTTTGAGACTCTGATCGCGGATTATATCCCCGCCCGTGGTATGGTTTGTTTGCAGTCGTGTCATTACGATTTCGTGAGTCAGTTACCTCTCTCTCCTCCGCTCCAATGAGTACATGTTTTAGACTTGCAGGCGTTCGCAGTAGTTTACTGGCTCAATGTGAGCCGTAAACGATCTCTGTATTTGTTCCAGCTCCGATATTTCTCCTGCCTTGAACGGGGCCGTCAGCACTGAGCAATATTCTAAGTGAGGGAGCACTAGCGATTTGAAGTGTCACCACCGGCATTATTTCCCTTGTTTTGAAAGTTCTCAGTATCCACCCAGTCATCTTCCTGGCTGTCATCTTTGTCTTGTTATGGTCTTTAAAAGAAAGGTCCGCTGACATAATTATTCCTAGGTCTTTTACGTGTTTCTTACGTTCTATTTGGTGACTCTCTTGAGTTTTGTATATAGTGCTCCTTTTGAGTTCTTCATTCTTTCCATACCTAAGCAGCTGGAACTTATCACCACTGAACCTCATGTTTTCCACTGCCCACTGGAAAACCTTGTTTATGTCTTCCTGTACTTTTTCAGTGTCCTCTACCGTACTGACTTTCATGCTTATTTTAGTGTCATCTGCAAATGCTGATACAAAAGTGTGCCGGGTGTTTTTCTTTATGTCTGCTATGAGGATGAGGAACAGCGGAGGTGTCAGGACAGTGCCTTGGGGCACTGAGCTTTTGACCTCGGTGATGCTGGATCTTGCCCTGTTCACTACTACTTTTTGTGTTCTGTGTGTTAGGAAACCGAAAATCCATCTGCCTACCTTCCCCGTAATGCCCATGGCCTTCATTTTGTGCGCTATCACTCCATGATCGCATTTGTCAAACGCCTTTACGAAATCTGTGCAAATCACATCTGCGTTTTGGTCGTCTTCCAGTGCCTCCGTAATTCTGTCTTAATGGTTCAGCAGCTGTGACAGACATGATCGTCCTACTCTAAAACCATGCTGGTTCGGGTTATGTTGGCTGTGCTGGTCCATGAAATTTGTAATCTGCCGTCTCATCACTCTTTCGAAGATTTTTATGATGTGAGAGGTTAGGGCTACTGGTCTAATTTTTAGCTAGTGCTCTACTACCTCCCTTGTGCAAAGGAGCTATGTCTGCACTCTTTAAGGTCTGGTATTTCACCTAGATCTAAGCTCTTTCTCCAAAGAATACTGAGGGCTCGTGCTAGTGGTACTTTGCACTTCTTTATAAATAGAGCATTCCATGAATCTGGTCCAGGTGCTGAGTGAGTGGGCATGTTTTCCATTTCTTTTTCGAAATCTATGGGATTTGTACTAACGTCAGTTAGTTGGTCTGCGCGGCCTTCTTCTGGAGTGAAAAATATTTCTGCATTTTCTACCTTGCTGTCATTTAGAGGGTTGCTGAACACCGACTCATACTGTTCTTTTAGGATTTCACTCATTTCCTGTTTGTCGTCAATATACGAGTCTCCTCTCAGTAGTGGTCCAATTCTACAGGTAGTTCTTAGCTTGAATTTTGCGCAGGAATAGAAATATTTTGGGTTTCTTGAAATATCCTGTATGGCCTTTTGTTCCCTTTGTACTTCTTCTGTGAGGTATGACATCCTAAGTTTTTGCTCTAATTCAGTGATCTCTCTGCTAAGTCTATCTTTCCTCTGTTGTAGCATATTTGTGTTTTTAAGCAGTTCAGTAACCCGTTTTCTTCTGTACCATCTCTTACGCTCTCTCTCTATATCTGATCTTCTTCTGGGTTTCCTCAATGGTACATGTTTCATACATACCTTGTATGCTTCTGTATTCAGCTTCTCTAGGCACTGGTGGGGATTTAGGTCGCTCATGTCTGATTTCCAGAGTATGTCTGATAGCTCTTGGTTTAGTTTTCCCAGTCAATTCAATGGTTGTTAAAC